TGATATGGTCAAATATAGTATCATGATACTATAACACATTTTTATGGTACACGATATGCATCACAATATTTAGTTTTTCTATGATTTGCAAGGGTGGAACAAAACATCAGCAAAATTAGTACCACATTTAAAAGGTTTTTCAAAAACTATGAGTCCTGGCATTTTCCTTTAATTCAACATTTGAAGAATAAACTACTTTAAAAGGAACAGGAAAAAAGGATTAAGCAATGGGTAAAAATAAATGAACACAATAAGATAATGCACTTTATTCAGTTACTATTCACCAGTTGTTATTTACCGGCAGTACATGATTGGTCTACACTCTTACACTGGTTCTTCAATGGTCCTTTAGTAAAGGGAATGATATTTAGAACCATAACTTCTATATAGAACCTTTTCATGCTTTAATGATTCTTTGCATGGTGAAATTGTTCTTCAGATTGATGGTTCTATATAGCATCAAAAAGGGTGCTTCTACTGTTACAAGCTTAACATTGTAACAATAAAAGAACCCTTTTATATAGAACCCTTATGCAGAACTATTTTCAAAAAGGTTCCATATAAAACCATATACAACACATTCTCTATCAATCTGAAGAACCTTTTCACTATGCAAACAACCATTTAAGCATGCAAAGGTTGCCTTGAGTGTTCATGGTTGTATATAGAACCATTGTCTTTACTAAAGATCCTTTGAAGAAAGAGTGTATACTGTACTGTTTTTTATGATGTGTACTTTATGATATACTAAAAAAACATCATTTTTAACTATAGTTATTGTAAAGTCATCATATTAGTAACAATATGATCATATTGGCTATCTTTCATTTCACTCAATTTATCTCTTTAAACTCTCTTAAAGAAAATGTCACCTCTACAAATCTCTAGCAAACAGAAGTGGCACATTTTTGGGGACAGATTAACATTCAAGTCAGTAAGCAGCTCTAGGAATTACTGCTGAGATGATCTGCTGTGTGAAAATGAGAAAGATCTTCCAGAAGGAGGACTGTGGCAACATCTGCCCACTCAGTTCACAAGCTATAGGAAGCAAGGAAGAAAAAGCAAGGCCATATAGATGCCTGTAGCCAAATATGATTGGATTTTCACGCTTTTTTTAAGGAACAGATCTTATGAAAAAACAGTGCTGGCAAAATGACTGAATAGATCTTTTTGCTTGAAGACACGTTATTGAAGGAAGTGCAGAATCAGACTGAATGAGACCTTCTGTGGAGCTGTGAACAAATTCATAACCATTGATGAGTCTATGGACATTGTTCAAAGCCTTGGTCAGATGGGGGAGACAAAGTCTTAGTAAACTAGGGATGACATGGACTTTTTTTGGGTTGTGCTAGAGGTTTTTAGCAGTAGCTATATTTTTGAAGGATGAATAGAAAAAGAATTAAGAAGCAACAATTACAGTTGCTTCACAGATCTAGCTGTGTTTAAAGACATGAATATGTTTCCTTCCTCCATAGAAAGAAGCAGAGAACTATGGGACTTCTTCTTCAATAACTTCCTAAGTTTGTTCTTAAATGTGTTCTTGAGAAAGGTCCTAAGAAAAAGTGTACATCATGACGTGTTCTTAAACCACAGAATTATTCTCACCTCTGTGCTCTTCAGTGTGCGTAGATTCTGTTCTTATCTAAAAGAAAACATTGGTAAATGTCAGAATCTGTGTGAAAACTGCATAATGAGGCCCAATGAGCAGATTTGTGCAAATCTATCTGCAGCTAGACCAAATGGTTAGGCTAATACAGAGCGGTAGTACTCAATAACTACCCATATGGAAACCTGATACATACAATATATGGTTTTATATAACAGTTAGTTCCGGCCACGCAAGCTGATTGGTTGAGAAGCGTTCTAACCGTGCTGTTATTTTGCCATAACATCCCGTTTTTTTCATAAACACTGTATCACTCCGCTGAGACGCCGTTGCTTAGCAACAACTTTGACAGCTGTAGGAGACGCTCAAGCCATTGAACGTTTTTACTTCTTACTTTGCGCACAAACAGAAAATGGATACTTTTAAAATCACATTTGACCGACAGCCGATTTAGTCAGACTCTGAAGATGAGACTACACTAAATTCCCAAACTGTCATTTCCACTGAGGAAGCTTTTCAGTCGGCAAGTGTGAAAGAAGAACACCCAAACAACCTGGAATTAGCCAGAAATGAACCGAATACCATTCGCCAAACAAAATGGGCTGTAAGACGCTTTACAGACTGGCTGGAACAAAACAAAATTAATATTGATCTAACAAAAAAAGACAACACTGAGCTAAAATTGATATCGCGGCAGTTTTATGGCTCAGTCCGTACTTCAGCAGGCGAGGTTTACAGCAGACTGTGCAGCGAGTGAGCAGAGTTCGTTACTCTGACGTAGCAGCAAGCTGCTTGTTAAGGAACTATAATTTGGCAGAAGGAATTAACATTAAAACATATGAAATGCCTCGTTCACGGCACAATTTATTTATTTTTGAGTTTATTTATTTAACTATTGTATAAAAGCAATAGAACACTCGGGGTCATGTGTTATCGCGATAACACACTCCCTCTCATGTTCTATTGCTTAATTCAAATATAAGATACATATTAGCATGTATGGATTTCCCTGTTAGCTAACCTATATTTGTCACACATATGGATGGCATATATTATTAGTTTCATGTTATATAACACACCACCACCACGTCAGTGTCACTGCAGTGCTGAGAATGATCCACCACCCAAATACTACTTGCTCTCTGGTGGTCCTGTGGGGGTTCTGGGGATTGAAGAACAGGGTAACAAAGTATGCAGAGAAACAGATGGACTACAGCCTGTAACTGTAGAACTACAAAGTGCTCCTATATGTTAAGTGGAGCTGATCAAATTAATAAAGAATGTAGAAACAAGGAGATGTATTTAATGAAGTGGCCAGTCGGTGTATCATTCAAATATATGCCTAACCATTTATGATATATGTGTATATATGACCATAAAGCAGATTTTCATGTGGATAGATTTTAAAATATATTTAAATGTACCTTTTTGATAATTGATCAGTCAGTAATTGGCACTGATAATCAGGGTAATCTCATAATTGGAACTGCAGGCTAAAGATTGTAGCTATTAAATCAAGTCATATAAACAAAATCTGCTAATAAAAAAAGGTTTCTGCATTAGAAACAGAATTTTCCACTAATTTAAAAAACATGCATAATTCAATTATTGAGATGAAAATAAAGTCATTCAGGCTGTTTTGATGTGAACTGGTTCACTGTAGAGAGTTCACAGACTCAGATTTCTTTACAATGGTGGTGGTAGGAGCTACTTAAAAAACGTGTTCTCACCAGTGATGTTCCCCTTGAAACAGAAGCTACAGAACATATCAGAAAACATATCAAAAAACAACACACATTTGAAGCACTAGCTGTGTCTCAAAGCCAAGAAAGCAGCTAAGGAAGTCTCCATTTCTCAGCCTTTACGTCAACGAAGGCTGTCTCGTTATGTTCAATCCTTTGAATGTGGGAAATGCGTTCTTCATTTCTGAGTAATAAAAGAAGTGGTTTATCCTTCATGACCTCCAGTTCATGCACAGCACAAAACCTTGAGAAAGACAGCAAAAAACAGCTATGAGTGGTGAGATGATGTGGCGCCGGAGTTTATAATGAAATGTAACATTAACTGAATGTTTTTAAATCTAAGATTTAAACGTGTCACGCTGCTTACATAACATGATGTGATACCTTGAATACGTGTGTGTGGACACTGAAGAGGAGCCTTTGTATACCAGTGCTAACAACGTCTCTCCTTTTTTGGCTGCATCCTTTACTTTGAGATACGCCTACTGTGTTGATGCTTGATTATGAAAGGATAGTTCAAGGACTGAGGCTACTCTGCTAAAAAAAAACAGCTTGGACCAGCATGAATTCCAAGTAGGTTTAAGCCGGTCTAAGCTGGTTTATGTTGGTCTAGTGCTGGGCTGGTGCTGGTTTAGCTGGTCACCCAGCAAGGTCATGCTGGCTGACCAGCATAGCAGCATTCAAAACACTATGTTGGTTTTGCTGGTGAGCAGCTATGCTGGTCAGTGCTGTTTTTACTAGTATGGTAGGTAAATATGAGTAACATTATATGGGTGTTTAGTCAGGAAGCTTCAGCTGGAAACTCTTCTTGATGCATTTTTTTTTCACCAAACAGCATGGCTATATTGCTAATAACCTTTGCTGCTAGAAGGGTACCCTCATGTAGCATACGCCAGGATAGAGCATATTTACAGTTGCTGTTTGTCTTTTTGTCCACCAGGTGTCACTAATGTGCACCGACTTTGAAAGCTTTGAGGAATGAACATATTTTTCCGATACAATTTAAAGGAAAGCTTCAGTGCTTCGGAAAGTTTAGTTTTGCTATATGCTATTATCTATTTATCTATAATATATTTATTTTACGCTATTTAGTTCATTGGAAATGTTAGCTTTTCTTATGTTCTGTTTTGCAGTGAGAGCAAAGCAAAGCAAAGTTTATTAATATAGCGCTTTTTACAACAGTTGTTGTCACAAAGCATAGCAGCTTTACAGAAAATACTAAGCCGAGAGCTAGCAAGAGCTAGCTAGAGCAGTGTATTTTCCCTATAATATATATATATATATATATATATATATATATATATATATGGTACTGTGTTCAATAAATGTTGTTAACATGTGCTGGGCTTTTCTGATAAGGACTCTTATTGTGAAAGCGGGGCTAGCCACCTAGCTAGAGCAAACTGTTAAATAAAATTCTGCTTTTATATATATATATATATATATATATATATATATATATATATATATATATATATGACCCAAGCAGAAGTGAACAAAGATCCGTTTGCACCTCCAGCCCGTCATATTAGTGTTTGTTGAAGGTAACCGTCGTGTTTTCCGACTCCTCCGGTGTGTGGACTCCTCCCTCTGTCCGGCCACTGCTCAGAGCGCCCCCGCGCGGCCCGGAGCCCGGAGAGAGCGCCTGTTGCCTGTGTGCCTGGCTCCTGTTCGCTTCTCCTCTACAGGGACTCCGGTTTTCAGAGTGTGAGGGTGTGTGAGAGAAGCAGCGGGGCCACCGGCGACGAGCGCCGCTTCTGAGGAGCGGAGGATGGGGGCAAGGCGGAGACAGGAGTCGGAGAAGCAGTAACGCCTTCAGGCTCAGGCGGAAAGCACGGCTGCCCAAGTTTGTCTTCTCGGTCACTTCAAACACCGCTGAGACGAGTTCTGAAGACTGAAGCTGGTAGAGCGTGTAGACTCGGGCTTTTCAAGGCGTTTCAGCGGCGGTATGTGAGTGAGTGAGGCAGACGGAGTTTGAGCTGTGTGTGAACGCGGTCAGGCTGCTGTGAGCACTATGTCTTCGAGACAGGCGTCTCTGGATCAGGAGGTTAAAAACGGAACGTCAAGAAATGTGCTGGAGCGATGCGCTTCAGTTAATGAGTATTTTGACATTTCCTTCAAGGTTTGTATTGTTATCATTATCATCGTAATTTTTATTATTTTTTACAATTCATGTTGTCTCTATTATTATTATTAATCTTATTATTATTACATCTGCTTTTTAATAGCATAATTGGTAACCTGTAGCGCGCGTGGGATCCCACTTTTCTCAGACGATATATACTAACGGTCACTCACATTTTCAACTGATACATTTTACTGACATTATCTGCACATTACATAGACAGTATGAAGATATATGTATGTGCAGCAAACATTAAAGTGGGTTTATGGACATTGTATGAATATTCTATGCATTTTATTGAGATGAAGGGACATTATATGCTGTCTTAAAGATGGTTCTTCAATGGTTCTTTAGTAAATAGAGAACCATGAGTTCTATACTGAACCATTTCATGCTTAAATGGTTAACTGCATCATGAGATCGATGGAGAGTGTGTTATATATGATTCTATATAGCACCAAAAAGGGTTCTTTTATTGTTACAAGCTTGACATCCCAACAATAGAAGAACGCTTTTTGGTGTTATATAGAACCCTTTTCAAAAAGGTGCTATATAAAACCATACACAGCACGTTCTCCATCAGTCTGAACCATTTCACCATGCAGTGAACCATTTAAGCATACAAATGGTTCTATGTTGAACTCATTGTTCTAAATAGGATCATTCTCTTTAGTAAAAAACCCTCGAATAACCGTCTTTTTTAAGAGTGTGGGTATTCTTTTTTAAGAGTGTGGTCACTCTTGTTTTACCTGCTTTGGAGAAGCACTTCGGTATCTGATGAAGACACAAAGTTTCAAGGTTTCCTGTGTGATTCATGCTGCAGCACAGCGTGTTTGGTCTAGAATTGAAGCTCAACTCTATCTGTAAATATTTGCTCAGGGAGGGATTCCTTGAGATTCTCTCTGAGCTGTTGAGCTTCAGTTAATGCATAACCTGTTATAGTAACACTATGGCAGCAATACCAAAAGTACATTTTTAAGTTAAATCTATATTCTCTAGAATCTCAATACCAGATTCTGTTTTCCAATACTGATATTGAAACCTTGACTGTTAACCAATATGATTACAATCTGATATTTCTTCTACTAAGCTTTTAAAGGAGCTGTTATTATTGGAAGCACCTCACTTAAGATGAGCATCTAAACTATTTAACTACCCCTTAGTAAGAAATACACTGCTTACAACATAACATCACACATTACAGGTGTGCAATTTCAGGCTAGATTTGTTACAGGATTGGATCAGATTAATTTTCCCTCCAGTATCCAATCTACCATTTTCTGCTGTTATTAGCCTGATACTTGTTATTGGATCTGTGCCATCTTTAATATTTTCATGAGAAACAGAACAGAATCGTTGTTACATAACAATAAACAGACTCGGTGGTAGAGGTGGGTGATATGACAGAAACATCGTACTGTGGAAAAGCCAGAGATGACTTTTCATTCGTTTCATTTCCAGTCAAAACTGCTAAAGTACAAGTTATTCATTTTCTCAGGAGATATTTCTGCAGAGATTAGACAGAATATAATCCACTTGCATAAAGAAAGTGAGAGTCAAAGAATAATAAGTGACAAAAAACACAAGCTTCCAGAACTGGAGTTGAAAAAAATGATTAGAAGATACAGACAGAGAAAATGGGAGTCCTAACAACCATGCAAGACGTGGTAGACCACCAAAACTGTCACCAAAGGTGGTCTGACATTTGAACAGTTCTGTATATTATCATAATACTGGAAGACATATTAATGATACACAGTTTGTATCACAATAATTAGTTTTTCTGAGATTTGATAAGTTGGAGCAGACAAAAGCCCCACTATTGCTACATTAAAAAAAATAAATAAATAATGATGTATAATGACAATTTTACTACACTTCACTAAATCCAAACAAGACTAACTGTGCTCTTTGTAATGAAACATGCGGTTGGTCAGTGTTCATTAAGTACTGGTGAACTCCAAATTGGCACCTTTACAGAAGGCAAAACATTCTTAACTTTAAATGTGAGTTAATGTAAAGATATTTTATTCTAAGCAGTTTTGGAGCATTTCAATTGGTCTGTTCAACATGAAATTCCGTACAATGTAAAGGGCAGCTGCTCTGCCCAAATGATGCAGATTTTTTTTTTGTGCACTGTAACAATATTTATATAGAGTTAATCACAATATGATACAGTATGATCATGTTGCCCACCCCTATTTTGTAGGATCCTGCTATAAACTGCTAGAATATAATACAAAATAATACAAAACAGCCATAAAAAACAAGAACTACATGCAATGCTGCTAACTGACAGAGTTGTGAAATTGCAGTGTATGTTGCCATCAGAGCTTCCGGTGGATTAAACACATGGTCATGACCTCAACGCATAGACGTGTGGTATTTAAGACCACAACGCTGCTGTTTCTATGGGTTAAATGTTTGTCATAAAACTGATCTACAGTGACCTGCAAATGCACTCTGTGAGGGAATTAAATGAATGAAGACCTAACGGCTCTCTCTGACCCTGACACCTGCAGGTGATGCTGCTGGGCGACTCGGCTGTAGGGAAGACTTGCGTCCTGGTGCGCTTTAAGGATGGTGCCTTTCTGGGAGGCAACTTCATTGCCACCGTGGGAATAGACTTTAGGGTGAGCGAGATGTGGTCAGAGCTGGTGTTGAACCAAACACACTAACAATTTGTACACCCCTGGTCGAATGGCATGTTTTGTTGATTTTCTAAGTGAACATAAGTAAACATCCTCTACAGGGAACTTAAATATGCCATTTTCTGCAGATTTTAGTGCATAGTTTCTATTTAGTTGCTGATATCAAGCAGATAAAACATACAGTGTGCCATAACTTTTTCACAGGCCACATTTGATGTTGTATTTTTTCCCCCAGTATGTTGTATTCAGCAAATAAACAGTAATTGTACATTAAAATGTGCAAAAATGTGATCTCTGTAGAGGATGTTGTTATTTTGACTTAGAAAATCAATAAAACATGTAATTTGTATGGGGTGGCCAGACTTTTGCATACGACTGTGTGTATACACATAAGCAATGGGTTGTCAGTTTGTTAGATGCATCATATCTACACTCATTAGCCATTTTATCTGGTACACCTACCATATAAAGACAGTTTATACAGGTTTTTTACAGTTACTGACTGTAGCCCATTGTTGCTGGGGTTTGTAGGTGTACAGTTAGAGACTGTAGCCCATCGTTTCTATGACCAGTATTGTTCCCAAACACCCTAGAAAACCTAGAAATTTAAAGAGCAGTTTTCCAGTTTTGGAAAAAATTAATAAAAATATCTTTGAAATATTATTCATGGAAAAGTGTAAAATTGGGCCATTAGGCCACCATTCTTAGGCTGAAGAATTTGGGCAAAATATCTGTTCGTGATTTATCTGACCATTATTGTGACTGTGATTTAAATTGTAACTGTTTTATAAAATGAGGTCTGTTTTTTTGGCCAAAGAGACCAGAATATCCACTTAGGTTTGCTTATACTTCCAATTTCTGACGCATGCATGTGTGCTATGTCGGCAGTGTGGGACGACAAGCAGTAGTAAAAATACTCATGGCAGAATCTGTAATGGCAGTTTTAGGTTTTAAGAACACGCTAACGGGGCCACTTACCTGAACAGCTGAGCTCCTTCTTTCAGTAATCACTTGTATGCCGCTGTGAGATCACTTTGAGAGAGAGGAAGGAACCGCCGGACTCTCCGTGTAGCCTTTAGCCTCGATTTAGCTTTTAGCATAGCAGCCCGCTAGCACCGCCTGCAGTGCACCTCTGTTGTTCAGCTCTATCACTAAGCAGCGGGTTCTTGCGGTCCGTCACTTAAACCAAGCCAGAAAACACACGGAAAGTCACTAATACTGACAGCGTGAACGACAGTGATATTTACTAAACTGATGCTCACAGATGCAGTGCAAGTGAACAAGATCCACATATGAGACAAATGACTTGAGAAACTTGGATGTAAAACAACATTCAGCTCCGTTTTTGAGCCAGAGAAGCTGCTGTGTGCTGATGTGTAAACACCACAGATTTATCTGTACACTGCTCAGTTCTGTTTTTAACTGTTTTGCACGAAAAATCTCTATTTTGTACTAAACTCTATCTCTATTTTGTACCTTGCTCCTCTGAAACATGAGTGCCTGAACGTGGGCATGTTGTTGTAATGTGACTGAGCAGGCAGATGTAGTGCTGATTTTATCACTTAACAGGCTAGGTCCAGAAGCCTGTTAGATCCAGATACGGTTAAAATATAAGGTTATTTCTCGCACAAACTAACATGTTGGTGCATCGTCCACTGAAGAAGAGAAAACACTTGTAGAAGATGACGAGTCTTCAACTTCCTCCAACTTGTTTGGAAATGTATTGCTCTGCATGATGCTACATTTTTGTGCAACACCAGTGCTGTCGACTAAATAATAAAAGGCATAGCTTATTATCATTCCATTAATTTTGGCCAAAATCTTTTTTTCCCTTCTCTGCAGTTAATCAGATATCTGTGCATGAAGATAGCATGAAGATTCCTACAGAATATGAAAATTTGTCACAATGCACATCCCTAGTTCGCTGCACATTGCTGTTTGGTCTCAGGCAGTTCATGAGCTCTGTGTTATCTGTGTTCAATTTTCCCACTTAAACTTGCTTAAAACAACATTGTTGATAATGGAGGCTATAGTAGAAATTGCAGCTCTTACTCTATGAAAATTGCACTCTTTTAAATATATCAAAGATTTTGATGTAAAAATGATTAATCTTTCAGCGCTAAATCAAGATTGCTTATTTCAGTGCCCAGTTTGAGTGTCCATTTATACTTTTTGTGGTTCGGAGTACTGCTTGCATGTGTACAGATGGGCGCTGTGTCAGAATGCCTGGTAGAGTGAAGCTGCATTAAAACACACCAGCTTCTTGTTCCAGTAATGTTCTTTTCTAATATTTTAGCAAAACAAATTGTGATTGGTGATGTCCACTAGGGCCCATTAGCGGTTATATTGCATATTGTACATTATTGTATTGTATATAATATATGTATATTATAAAAGGGAACACCGATTTTTCAAAATGTCTTAATAATTCTATCTTTGAAATGTAAACAGTCATTCAGTGTGGTTTCATGTGAAATGTGCTGTTGTATAGAATCCTACCGACTTGAATTTCTTTACAGTGGTGGTGATAGGAACCAGGTTTTGCAACGTCTGCAACACAAATACAGCCACTTTATTTACTATCCCAAGCAACCAGTAAATCTATATGTGTCTTCTGAGCTTTGACATGTAATGCTAATAATAGTAAAATCTGAAAAAAGTAAGAAAAAAAATATTTGTGGACTATTTTCCTTACAATACCCTGCATGTACCCCTCCAACATAAATATATTTGAAAATATATATGTTTTTTGCCAAAACTTTGTCACAACCATCGTAAAACAATGCCTTGGGCAACAGGCAGCGTATTAATAATGATTTCATGCAATAGCTTTCTGTAAGGTAGCTTTAGAGGCACAGAACTCTGAACAATTCAGAGTTGCCCTAGAATAGTGCAGTTTACACTAAACCACTCTGAATGACTTTATATCTTAATCATTTAATTATGCAGGGATTTTACCATATCTCCTTTATGGTTAAGGATATCATTAGTTGTCATGAATGTCCTGGAATTTGTCCTGGAATTTGTCCTGGAAAATGATTTCCTAAGAAGAATAGGAACCCTGGTTAGTTGTCCTCTAGCCCTTCATCAGTGATCAGTTTCTGACTGCAGGACCACTCTCGGCTGGATATTTTTGGCTGGCAGATTTTCTCAGCCCAGCAGTGACAGTGAGATGAAGTCCCAGCAACACTGCTCTGCAGGATGGACTCATACCAACGAAACACACACTAAAATGTCACTACCCTGTCAGTGTCACTGCTGTGCTGAGAATTATCCACCACTAAAATAATATCTAATCAGCGGTAGTCCTATAGTGGTCCCTTTCCATTGTTGTGCTTTTTATGGACATATTTTGAAAATACACCTACAAAAATGAACACATAAATAAATATTCATAATTCTTTAAAAACCTCTTTATGAAGACAGTTATGACAGTAACCATTACTGCTTTATACATTCTACCGTACAGTCTATGTGTTTTACATACACTGAGAATGGGAATAATAATCATGTTTTAAGCATTTTTATAGGCTAGCAGTTTAGGATAGAGTAGCTTTTGAGCTGTGCACATGTGTGTTTTGTAACTGGCCGTTAAACTGAATGATTCAAGCCCAGTGCAGTCCAGGAAGCAGTTGTTGGGCTTCTGACGCTACGTTCCTGCCAATGTAATTATGTCACTTTGGCGCTGCATGTGAGACAGTTTGATTCATTCTGTCATTACAGCTGTTAGCCATGCATTTTATCGTGGAAGCTTATATTGTGATAAAGATAAAAATAGGATTTATCGTGCAGCCCTACTGGACAAGGTTAGAGGGTGGCTGACAAAATGTACAGTGACAGATGGGCTACAGTCAGTAAATGTAAATCTACCAAGTGCACCTGAATGGTTGGTGTTTCTGATAAAATGGCCAGTGAGCATAGATACAAGGTAGCAGGGCTGGGCAACATGACACTATTTAATGTTACTGTGATAAATTGCATAGTTTTCTGAGTTTATTATGGACCTAGTCAGTGCTTAAAAAACACTTCCCAGCTGCTTTTTTGATTAAAGGAGAGCATAATAAGGTAATTAAAGCATAATTTAGTGCAGCACAGTGTGTGAAATGTTGAATACAAATCATTGAATCCATGGTTCTGGAAGCATTTTTAAAACGTGGCACTTCTTTGTCTGTTCTAGCTTATCAGATGTTAGAAAAAATAAATATTGTGACATATTGTGTACCTGAAAATTTTTCCACCGATGTAGCTAATAAACTGGCAACTCGTCTAATTTTGGGCAAGTTACTGCAGAAGAGGTCACTGTGTTCTTGTTGCTTTCCATTTCATTTTGACTGCAAGTCTCTGTAGCTTCCACAAGTGGGATCAGCTGGTAGAGAGCACAAAATGTCCACAAACTGTCTGGCAAATGTGTCAAATAGATGGGCCACTTCAGGCTCCTCTGAGTGTGGGGACATAAAAGGCTAGACTGATGCCCGTTCACGTTTCAGTTGGGCTAAATGATTACCAGCGTGCCCGAGGGCACTGACGCACTCACGCTACACCGATCCAAGCGAATGCTCTTTGGGTGCGAGGTTATACATTACTGTACAAGTATAATTCAGTGAATTCAGTGCAGTAGCTGTATTAGAATGCCCTACATCCAGTATGATTTTTTACATAGGGATGCACAGCATGGAACATTGACCTCTCCAGTCCTGATATTGCAGCATCACTCCAATACATCACAGAAATTTGTTTATATTGAATTTTTTTATATGTTTATATTTAGTTCCATGAGCACCATGAACAGTCAGTGGTCCTGATGGCTGCTCTGAAGAATGACAACGTTTACAACATTCCAAAACATGTAAATCATAATATAATCATTATGAACACTGCATCCAGTGTTTGCTTATGTTTTGCCATATCACTGCCATATTTCAATTGCAGCATGTAGTGTAATCGAAATGCACTGAGTTGCCAGTTTATTACACCTAGCTTGT